AACTTATGAAATAGCTATCATATAGAAATGTGAAAGAGCTTACATTAAGAACTTGTCTTCCAGATTCTGTGTCTGTGTAAATGCCAAATCCCAATTTTCTTGTTCTTTTTTTTCCAACAGCAACAGAAACAGATTTAGTAGCAGCATGAAGAGAAGCAGCAGTAGCAAATCCAGCAGGCGCACTGGAGGCTGTGCTTGTTGAATCAGAACTAGCCCCACTTCCTCTTCCTAAACCAGTGCCCCTTCCTATACCAGTTCCCCTTCCCTTTCCTCTGCCAACTCCTATTCCTAGTCCTCTCCCTCTGCCTCTCCTAGTAGAAGTATTATTTCTAAATTTTGTAGTATCTTGACATAAAGAAGAAGGAACACTAGAATGTTGGGTACTAGGTTGTCTCATTGGCATTGCTTCAGTAGTTATACTAGATTGTTGAGTAGCAAGTTGAATGTTTGGTGTTGATTCAGTTGTTGTTCTTGGTCTTTCTTGAGGCTATATGTAACAAAACAAAGGTTATAAGACAAAGGTTAACAAGTAAGTAGATCAATGAAAATAACAAAGGACATACCCCTGATTTGCACCATTTTTTGTTGTGTCCACTTTGATGGCAGTTAGAACATGTCATCTTGGCTCCTTTCTTTGATGCTTTTCCCCATTTCTTTTTTCTTGGTACATCGTTGTCCCTTCTACTACATCTCTTGGGTCTACCAAGCATTGGTTTAACTTCAGGTGGCTCGACTGGTGGGTTATTTGATTTAGGCCACATCTTCCATATTGGGGATTGGTTGAATGAAGTACTTATAAGTATTGAAGTACGTATCTTTTCTATACCAATGCTCAACATAATCTTCTAGATCTTCCCCAATATGAGAAAATGCACAAACTACATGGGCACAAGGGATACCCCTCAACTGCCACAGTCTGTAACTACATGTTTCCTTAACCATGTCAACAATAAACCTATATTCCCCTTCCTCAATTTCAAAGCCGGTATCATCATTCCACATCACTTTTAATCTCCTACCAACTTGTTTATTCTCTTCTAAAGCAAATCTTGCCATGGGTGAAATGTCAGTGATCCATGTTTCAGCAAATTTGATCATATCCCCCATGTCTATTCATTATATTATGTCTAATGTCTTCAAGTATGCCTAGGACCCACAATCCATGAGTTAAATGTCTCACACATGTTATTTTCAACAACATCACACCTAACAGTTTCACTAAAATAAGACCTACGCCAGTACTCTTTATTATATCTAAGGAGGGATTCACAAATTTTATGCCCAAGTTTATCCAAGTGTTCAAATTCTTCTTTCAATTTTACCTCAAAACTGGCCTTAGCACATCTCCAGAAAGATTTTCTTCTTGCTTCACCTCTCCATGTTTTTTGCCAATTTGCCCAAATATGCCTTGCACACATCCTCCTTTCAGCATTAGGAAGTAATTCTTGAACAATTGGAACAAGACCCTTATAGACATTAAAAAAAAGGAAACAGAATGAAATAAGCAATATAAATAAAATAAGCAACA